AGGTGCACCCGGTGAGTGGATGGTGGGACATTCTAACCCCGGGCCCAGGCCTGGCTATTTGTGTGTGAGCTGGAGACCCACCGAGCAGCAGCAGCAGCAGCAGCACCAGCAGCAGCAGCAGCAGCCGCCGCCGCCGCCAGATTTGCAGCCCAAGGCCCAGATTCCAGTGTCAGCCTTGCTGCAGCTGGTTTCCTGCTGTGTGCTTTTCTGAGCCGACACAAAGCAGATGGATGTGCACAGAGCCCAGCGCACAGGCCCGTGGCTCCCTGCGCACAGCCTGCTGAAGTCCTGTGACCCCGGCAAGGGGAAGGGCTCATTAGGGAAGGTTTTCAGAGCCCCAACTAGCAGAGATGAATAGGACCTGGTGTTTGATCCCAGAAACCGCTTCACTTGCCAGAACTAACAGAATGGCTAAAATAACCGGCCTTGCAAGCGTGCACATGTGGTGCGGCAGCTGTGCTGGGTGGGTTGGCATGTCACTGTGGGCCTGAGCAAGTACCCAGAAGAGCAGGATTAGACGACGCGACCAGGTCAGGGCTGATGCAAACCTGACCACTTCTCTCTTTTTTGACTAGGGTCCTGGTCCTGGACAAAGGAGTAGTAGCTGAATTTGATTCTCCAGCCAACCTCATTGCAGCTAGAGGCATCTTCTACGGGATGGCCAGAGATGCTGGACTTGCCTAAAATATATTCCTGGGATTTCCTCCTGGCCTTTCCTGGTTTTCATCAGGAAGGAAATGACACCAAATATGTCCACAGAATGGACTTGATGGCAAACATTGGGGGCACCTTAAGATTTTGCACCTGTAAAGCCTCACAGAGTAACTGTGCTGAATGCTTTAGATGACGAAACGAGCCCTAAGAGGTAAATGACATGCCTAAGGTCACAGCTAGTTTGAGACAGTTAGACTAGTCCCCAGTCTCCTGATTCCTAAACGAGTATTATTTGCACACTACACTGTTTTCAAATAACGATTTCATGAAATGACCTCTGTTCTCCCTCTGATTTTTCATACTTTCTAAAGTTTAGTTTCTGTTTTTTAATAAAAAGCTTTTTCCTCCTGGAAGAGAAGACTGCGGCTGGGCCAGACCACCCCTAGGAATTCCGTCCTGTCCTCTGGGGTGCTGCCTGAATCCATTAAAAATGGAGTACTGATAAATAAAACGACATGGTCAACAATATATACACACTAGTCTTTCTGTGCTTGTTCACAAGGTTTGGGGATTAGGATCTTTGCAGGAGGCCAAGAGGAAGATTTTCTACACATGTACATGGTTGTAGTTACCTGAACTTCAGACCCAAGAGTTCTTGGCTGCAAATATTGCCTTCACGGCCAAAATTCCCTGGGTAATTGCCAGTAGTTCCTGCTCTGCTGTGCAGATATTGTAAAAGGTGAGAAAGGCCCTGAAATCTGACCTGGGGCCTCTTGGGAAAGCTGCTCTGAACACCTCCACGTTCATGTCATCCCTCAGCCCTCTACGCCTGTTTCTCTAGGGACTAAGAAGTACATGATGCTTTACTTCCTTGCTTATTTTGAAGTCTGTTCCAGGCAGTTCCTATAACCGGTGAGGCTTCCAAGTCATTCATTTTCCTCAGTCCAGCCAAAGCTGAATGTGTGAGCACAAAGAAGCTGAGAGGCCACCTCCTGCCCAGAGAGAAGCCACCCACAGTCCCAGGTTGCCAGACAAGATGTGAGGGGTGAATTAAATTTGTTTTCTTGAGCAAGCCAACAAAGAGTTCCTTTTCTGCAGGTCAGAGTCCGCCTGGCACAGGCCTTCTATTTGGAATGGATCTCTTCTCCTTGTTCCTAAGTGTTCTGGTCTCCTGTCTCGCTCTCATTTCCCCTAACTTTGTCTTGGTAGGATGTGAGTGGGTGTGGGTGATGGTGGTTTTCTCCCCAACCCTAAATGGTTTGCAGTAGATACAGATGGAGGTGGATCCTCTGATTGGTTTTTTCTATATGCTCTGGGTCAGCTTGTACTGCAGGACCATTTGTTAAAGGTTAATCGCATTTTTTTGGCAGGCTGTTTCTGCCCAGGATGTTTATGAGTATATGGAAGATGACTTCCATCCCTGTGATAAAGCAAGTATGAAAGCACAAATGCCCAAATTATTCTGCCTCTCCGTGGTGCTAAGAAAAGGTCTCTGCTATGCTCTCTGATTTATTAGGCCAATTTGGCTTGACGTCTGCTTTGTGAGGTGCTAGCTGGCCTGAACCAACAGAAAAGCAGACTCATTCAGCATCATTCTCAGCTAAAAATCTGGAAGTGTAAGGCTGTGTTTCCTCTCCTGTCTTGGGATTTGCTTCTGAGCTCACTGAGGCCCTGACAGGTGCTGACAACCCAAAGGAGAGGCTCAGTTGGGTAAAGTAAATAGGATAATCAAAAAATGTGGTTAATAGGGGATGACCTCCATCTAACTGGCTACTCCAGGGAAATGAAGCCGACTGCTGTGAACTGGAAGGAAAGACACCGCACAAAATATCCGTCCCCAGGTGCTACTGACAGGATATGAGCGGGATGTATGAGCGGGATGTGGAGGAGGCTCAGGTGGAGAGAGGGCCCTTCTAATCTTCCTCCAGAGCGCCTGGTCTCTGGGACTGTCCAACAATTTGAACCCCCTATGATTAGAACTATAGTGCTGTTTAGGAAGCCAAAACGAAGGCGTATAGGTCGGTCAGTTAATATTTAATTTTAATAATACTTGTTATGTTTGAACAGTCAGCAATGCACAAAGAAAAAATCTTCAGTGAATGTTTACACACTGTGAACACATGCTTTAAATATGCAGTGGAGGAGGAGGGGTGAATTCACAGTTAACAAAGCTAAAAAAAAAATCCTTGTTATAAATTACACAAAGCATATAAAAATATTTCTCTGAATGCATAGATTAAGACTTTAAACTCACCTACCAGCAACTGTGCAGTCTTATTCTACTGCGATACGCAGGAGTCAGTTGACCACAGAGGATTTTATAAAGGAGAAGAGAGACCAGTATAGGGCAGAGACACATCAAACCCACCTCTCACCGGAGACACCAGTCCCTTGCTTGCCTCTGTCGCTAAGCCTAGAACATGCCCTGCAGCTGCTCCTCTGGAGGCCATCTCCCAGCCAGGGGCCTTCACTGCTCCACTTTAATTAATCTGGGTGGCTGAAAGTGTTTTAACCCAAGTAACTTAGACATGAATTAATATTGAATTTATTTCATCTAGGATAGAACCAGACTTAACTTTATCAGTAAACTGTAACTTTTTTAGAAGCAAAGAAAAAAAAGGTTACTACATCTAGTTAAATTCACTTCCGATTGGTTGAAACACAAGGGAGGGGCTGGGCGCCCTGACTCACACCTGTAATCAGAGCACTTTGGGAGGCCAAGGCAGGTGGATCACTTGAGGCCAGGAGTTCGAGACTGGCCTGGCCAACATGGTGAAACCTTGTCTCTACTAAAATACAGAAATTAGCCAGGCATGGTGGCACATGCTTGCAATCCCAGCTACTTGGGAGGCTCAGGCAGGAGAATCGCTTGAACCCGGGAGGTGGAGGTTTTAATGAGCTGAGATTATGCCACTGCACTTCAGCCTGGGCAACAAAGCGAGATTCCGTCTCAAAAAAACAAAAAACAAAAAACAAAAAAAACACACACAAGGAAGGTTTCTTCTTTAAAGCACTGAAGAGAAAGAGGGTAATAAGTAAACTTCACTCTGCTATGCAAACACTGTACAAGGGTGAGTAAGTCACCAGCAGTAATTGGTGGGATACAATTAAGTCACTAAACAGAGTGATTCTGTGAAGTTAGCCTTGAAAAACATCTCAACCTCATTTCAGCATTTAGGCAGCAGCAGGAGGCCATTATCTTAGCACAACATTCTCTTCCGTTGACATCTTCTGCACGTTCTCACTCAACTGTAGTGTTCTAATAAAATTAAGTTAACACAGTTAGGAAGTTGAGTTTCTTTGGAAACTATAGGCACTATGGGGAAAAAGCTTCTTAAGACAGCAGGGATGCTCTTCCACAGCTGGCTTCAAACCCCTGCTCTCCTGTTTGTCTAAGTGTGCTAGTTCTTATTTCTGAAGTTTAGCTGTTTGTTTCAACAAAACAGTGGCTGCTCTTTTAACATTAATGACACTGAAGGAAAGGAAAAGAATCCTTGAATGCATTCTTTTAAAAAATTCCTATGCCATACTCAAGAGTTTAATCAGGTGTTTTGTTTCTGTTTTTCAGAACAAAGTCTGGTCAACTCATAACTGACTTTGTGAAGTGAATTGGTGGTAGTAGTAAGGGGATCACTAAGATCAAACAATTTGTTTACAAAAGCAACAGATTTCAGAATTGTGTAAAAATCCTAATAGTTTCAAAATAACCTTTATCTTTGATACAAAAATAAAGATGCTAACTCCTTTAGCTCAGTTTCCCACAATAACCTTTAAAATAGCAACAGATTCAGTCTCAAAAATTGCTTTTCATTTGTAGTGGAAAATGAAAGTGGAGAACATGGAACAGCAATATTTGTGCTCTTCTCATAGGATGCAGTTACACACACAGATGACTGGAATCACTTCAGAGTAAAAAAAGTGGGCTGGGTGCAGTGGCTCACACCTGTAATCCCAGCACTTTGGGAGGCCAGGGACAGGAGGATCACTTGAGGCCAGAAGTTTGAGACCAGCCTGGGCCACATAGTGAGACTCTGTCTCTATGGGAGGGGTGGGGGTGGGGGGCATTGTAAAAAAGCAGTTGCTCTTTTAGAAGGCATCAGAGAGCCCTCTAGTGACCACGAAGGGGAGTTAATGCAGAGATGACTCGAGAAACAGAGAAGCAGTCATGAGTGTTACAAAGGAAAAAGTGAGGGAGGGAAAGCTCTTTTGGTTAACAGCGTATTTACAATTAGGTAACTGTATTCTTAAATACTTTTAACCTGAGTAACATTTATAAATATGTTATAGGAAACCTCACAGTCACAAGTCACACTAGAATCCATCTGTCCAGTATCTGTGCTTTCCCCAGTCTTCCTCCCTCATAAGTTCCCAATGTCAGGAGAGTTGTGAGCATGCAACACCAAGAAAAACACATCCTGGCCCTTCAGGTGCACTGTCAACAGGAGTGGCTAGAAATAGGCTCCGCTCTCTCTCAGCTTCTGCTTAGACAACTCTCTTACATTCTGAACATAAAACACACTGGATATAGAACCTTCAGCTTCTGCCTCTCCAGACCACTTCTCAGCTGTTCAAAGCTTCAAGCAATAGGTTTATTGTGCACCAAGAGGCTTGGAAGAGTGGCACCGCTGCTTGGGGGTCAGGGGCTTCCTACCTTGGCAGAATGATGTTAGTATATACTACGCAGTGGCACCAGAGGCCCTCCCGGGCATCCGAGGCATTTAGATCAATGGCTTGTCCTTGGCCCAGAGGTGACGCACACTGTCATAATACTCAGTGATAAAAGTCCCTGCTGCATTAGTAAGTCAGTTTTGAAGCTCTCCTGTTATAACAAGGCCTTTCAGTCAGTGTGGATGCAGCATTTCTGAACAGAAAATTATTTTCACTTATCATCAGAACCAGTTCCAGCTCCTGGAAATCTTGGAGTCGAGCAACATCCTTGTCCTAAAACAAAAATATGTTAAACAGATTAACAGGAGCCACTTGTCTCCATATGTGTGGTGCACTGTATTGATACCAGTATCTTGTCTCATTTCAAAACTTGGAAGAAAAAAAAAAATCCCTGTGGCAGGCTAAGTCAGTGATAGTGCAACTAAGGCCCCAGGCTGATTGGGTTGCAAAGTGGAAGCCCTTAAAAACAGCTCAGCAGCTGTGACAGCATGAGCACACACTGCGAAGGGAGAGGCTATGCAAAGGGAGAAGCAATGCACAGATCAGTTTCCCGGGTGCCCTGAGAAGCCAGAAACCTGATGTTCAAAAACCCAGAGATGTATGAAGGACCACACATGCATCTATGTGGATTTGCTCTGTAACTGAACTTGGTTCTTCACTTGTAAAACAGAAGGCACATCTAGTAGTATACTAAGTTAATCCTTACAGATCACTAAAGAAACCGAAAATAGGAACACGTGAATGATAATTCAGAAAATTATCTCTAGTATCAACTTCCAAAAATGCCACTGTTGGCTGATCTGAACGCAAAGGTGTTTCCAGCTAGTTTGTAAGAATGTAACTGGCCAAACACCAGTTACAGATGTCTTTGTTCCTTCTCCACTCCATTAAAATACATGACTTGCCAAAAAAAAAAAAAAAGCCAGCGTCTCTATAGACTTAGTAGAAGGAAATGATTACATTTGGAAAATCATTCTTTGCTCCTTTTCTATTCTCTGTTTATTTCCTCAACTAACTCATATAACCAAGGAGGGAGCTAGGTATTTTCCAAATGCAAAAACAGCCATTCATGCTTAACAGACTTTTCTTACCTTTCTTAACAGAGTGTTGGGTAACTTTCTGATCTTCTCCACTTGATCTGGATTAACACCCAGCTCGCAGCAACACACTCTGAGCAGCTCTTGGTAGGTGAGCTCCTGTCGGTCCAGTTCAATTTCAATGAAATCATTTTCTCGAAGAGATGGGTTCTGAATTCTCACCTTGAGTACCAGCTCTAGAAAAAAAAGGAGAAATGTTAATGAATAGTTCTGGCACAGCACAGCCCCTGTTATTTAAGATCTTTTCCAGAAGATGGTTACACTTAATCATGCCAAACAGACCTGTTTGGTGGGAAAACCAAGTGTAACCAGCAGGGTTTGCTCAGGCCCAGTTCTGGCTCTGCTGGAGCAGTTTCCTGCATTGTTGTCCATACTTTTAGGCTATGGTTCACAAAGTAAGAGCAAGGCAGGGGCAGCCATTCCAGCTGTGTAGAAGGATAATTTACTTCTGCCATTGGAGCTAAGGAGGCAAAGTCTTAAGAACAGGTTTGGGTATCAAACTATACATGAACAGGGGAAGGGGGAAGAAGGTTGGAAAGAAGGCATGGGCAGGATGTGAGTTACCCTAAAAAGATTGAACAATTATGGACCTAAAGGTATTTGTAAAATATGAAACTCCTTGCAAAAAAGACAGTAAAAGAGCCAAATGACAAGCTACTAATAAAAGCTAAAGTATAACTTGATGTGAATGTGGCACCTTCATGAGGAAGGGGTCTTATTATTCACAGGTCTTGGAACTAAGCAATCTGCTCCTTTATTCTGAACCTGGCTGCCAAGACAGCCCAAGTCAAGCACCCTGGACATTTGGCAGTTCTGCTTTGTTCCCTGTATATGAATCCCTTGTGGCACCCCAGGTCACTGTTAGCACCTATAGTAGTAACTCCTCAAAAACAGGAAGTGAGAGAGTTACTTCTAGGAAAAAAGGAAAAGTAAGACTAGCTGTACCCTATGGTATTTGACTGGATTTGGAAGAATCAGAATGAACTTGTGGTTTTTAATACTCTCAAAAAGATATACACTGATAGAGAAATATGGATATCTTTCCTGGCTATGCCGTCTCAGCAGGCCTAGAAGAAATGATATACCTGTAGCAATGAGGACACCTAGTGCCCACATCCTGGTGTCTAAATACCATTCTTGGTGGGCCCAAGTGGGAGGCAAATTTGCTGTGTGTCCTAAATACCATTCTCCACCAAAAAGAACCAGGGCTTCTTGGAGAAATGACTGACTCCAGGGTGGGAGGAGGAAAAGTTATGCTATGAGCCTGGAACATCTTGCTGCACCAGAAAGTAAGGCAGTGCTCCAAGAACAATGAAGACACCTGCAAGGGACATAAGAACCAGCTTGAAGGGGCTCCCACTGGCCAAATCTGGGATAACCTGAATAACTGAAAATTGATAGCAACAGATTATAACCCACTGAATAAAATACAGATATATGTGTCAATACTGATATTAATGAAGGAGAAGGGAAAGCCCTTCTTTACAGTAAAATACCAAATAAGTAGAGAAAGAATGATTGAAAATCGTATCCCACAAAAATAATTGGCCTGGACTCTTCAAAAAGATCAAGATAAAAAATGATAAAGGGTAAAGATTCCAGATTAAAGGAAACTAAAACGACATGATAACTACAGGCAACATACGATCCTGGGCAGGGCGCAGGGGGCAGAGGAGTACAGACAGTCCAGATAGGTATCAATAGTACAGATAGTACTATTTCTGTAATAGTACAGACAGTACGTATAATAGATGACGGAATATAAAAGGCATTGGTTGAGACAATTGACAAAATTTAAACATGGACTATGGATTACAGAACAGCATTACCTCAAGATTACATTTCTCAAATTTGGTCATTTGTACTGTAATTACATAAGAGAATACCTGGCTGGGTGCGGTGATTCACACCTGTAATCCCAGCACTTTGGGAGGCTGGGGGGGGCGGATCACTTGAGGTTGGGAGTTTGAGACCAGCCTGGCCAACATGGTGAAACCCCGTCTCTACTAAAAATACAAAAATTAGCCAGGTGTGGTGGTATGCTCCTGTAATCCCAGCTACTTGGGAGGCTGAGGCAGAAGAATTGCTTGAACCTGGGAGGTGGAGGTTGCAGTGAGCCAAGATCATACCACTGCACTCCAGCCTGGGTGACAGGGTGAAACTACGTCTCAAAAATAAATAAATAAATAAAAGAGAATATCCTTGTTCTTAGGAAAGATATAACGGAAAGAATACTGAAGGGTATCAGGGTAAAAGGGCAAAAGGTAAACAATTTGTGAATTTGAGTAAAGGGAGTTCCTTATACTAGTCATGTAACATTCCTGTAAGTTTGTAATTATACCCAAAATACCTCATTAAATCCCACCTCTCGGGACACCAACTCCCCTGTTGCAGAGGCTGTTTGCTGATGAGGGGTTACCTTGCATATTAAATGGAAATGCTCCAGTGAAGAAAAATGGCTGGAATGCTGGCGCTGGTCCTGCATATGCCCCATTTTGAGGCTCCAGAGACACTGGTGGCTTGGACGGGACAGAAGAAAACAGGGAGCGGCTCTGACTCACTGGTGGCTGACAAACAGGACCTGGTTTTGTGCTTTCTGGTGTTCTGAGTATGGCAGAGGGGGCCGACACATCACCATTCTGAACTAGTGCCAAAGAGGTGTGGTCCCGGGGAAAGGCCCCTAACAGGGGAGGTTCCCCAGGGGGAAGCAATGGAGGTGAGCCATCTGCAGGGGGTGATGCAGGGGGTGTGGAGGGACCCCCATTCTGCATCGGGGCTGAATCCTCTGCTGTGGGTGTGTAGATAAAAGGGAAGGCTGGGTTGGCCAAATAGTTGGGAACAAAGGGCAGTTCTGACTCCTTCTTCAGCTGGGGGAGGTTGTCATCATCATCATCATCTTCTTCCACTTAAAAAGAAGAAAACAGAACATTTACACAGTCCTTTCAAAATTACCAAAAAACGGTGTCTTTTGGAAGTGGTGTCTTTTGGTATGTGACATTGGTCAGTGCTTACTGCCTCTGCAGGTCAGAAGAAAAAAGAATATTTCATTAGGTTTATGATTACCATGTTCATCATTATCTTAAATTTTACAAATAAAAAAATAAAACCTTACAATGCTGACCTCCCCAGAAACAACCTGGAATTACTACCTTGGCATAGTAATTTGCTTTTAGAAATAGAACAGTTGTTGGGAGCAGTGTCTCATACCTGCAATCCCAGCACTTTGGGAGGCCGAGGTGGGCGGATCGCCTGAGGTCGGGAGTTCGAGATCAGCCTGACCAACATGGTGAAACCCCATCTCTAATAAAAATACAAAATTAGCTGGATGTGATGGCACATGCCTGTAATCCTAGCTACTCGGGAGGCTGACGCAGGAGAATCACTTGAACCTGGGAGGCAGAGGTTGTGGTGAGCCGACATCATGCCACTGCGCTCCAGCCTGGGCAACAAGAGCTAAACTCTGTCTCAAAAAAAAAAAAAAGGAAGAAAGAAAAAAAATAGAACAGTTGTTTGACCAGCATTAAGAATGTAGCCAATAATACCACAAGTCTTCAATGAGTCTAACGAAATCAAAAGTTCCCCCCAAACACAGACTCACCTCCCATAATCTTCCTGATTTCTCTCCTTGATGTTAACTGGACTGGCATTTCTCCTTTTGTGGTAAGAATTTCTTTGTCAGCTCCTGATTTTAACAGGTAAGAGACCACCTGACCATGGTTTCGTTTACATGCCCAGTGTAAACAAGTCCTGTTCCAAAGAAAAGAATGAAAAAGAGGAGAAGTGATTTGGGATTTCAGATTCTAAACATTAGTAAATAATGTATACACAAGCCTGTTAAGAGTTCAGCTAGAACCAGGTAACCGGGCTGGTAATCTCAACTTTTCACAAAGAAGATGATCAAAATATTTAATATGCTTAAATTTTGTTTTTAAATCTCATTTCTGGTTCCTGAGAAAAACTAACTTAACGTAGGAGTTTTAATTTCAATAGCCTCCAGGAGGTAAGCTCACTGGCTGGCTAACTCCAATGGTAACGTGGAGTATACTCTATGAGTATCGCTCATTAGATCATCTCAGTCTCTGAAACATATTTTTATATTGCTATATTCCTTTTCAGGGACTATGGAAACTCACTTCATATGCCACCTGAAGATTCAATATTATCAGGCTAATAACCATCTCCTATCAGCAGCTTGCTCTGTCACTGAAATTATTATTATGACAGCAGATATTCTTGTCTGAATCCCAGTTGCTCACTTTCTTTTTCCTTCTTACTTTTCTTTCCTTAACACACACACAAAGGATTTCCAAATTTCCATTTTTAAAAAGTTGGCTTCTTTAGTTCTCTCCAGAAGGCTACAAACATATCCTCATCTGCGTAAACATAAGGCATTGCACATATACTTTAATTCCTGAGGTACTTAAAAAATATATATCAACAACCAAAATTCTTCAAGAACAGGCTCTTCTAACATATCAGACTCATTTAAGTAAAACTAATCACTCAATATTGTACACAGAGGAAGCAATTCTGTACACTCTGAAGGGCTACTATTTTCATACTATACAGAAACATAATTAGCATGCAGGCAAAACTCCATCTTAACAGAAATGAAAGATTCAGAGCAACTAAATCCATCCCTAGGTGCCAAAGCTGAATGTATATTACGGAAGGAAAATACTTCTCGCTCCTGTGTTTTGAAATGTCTTCTTTCACCAACTCTCTAATTGAACTGAGATAAATATCTTCCGAGCTCTTATAGCCAAATACAGAAATGAAGCTTGGAACAAATGTTCAATAGTGAAGGTTAGTTCACTAACCTGGGAAGTATAATTATCTGGAAAGTTTATATGGTTCTAGGAAAAAGCTGATTTGCCCTGGGCTTAGCTTTAGTAACTCACAGAAAGTTAGCATGTCTGGCTGGCTGGGAGCAATTCCACTGATGTCTCAGAGTGACATTCTACATTATGGTTCATTAGAATTAGATTATCCAGGTTCCTTTAAGGTGTATTTCATGATGCAATGACAAAATTATTACTAATCTGGGAAAAGTAAGAGTCTTGTTAAGTTTGGGAGAAAAGAGTCTTGATCAAGCTCCCTGAAGGCAAGGAAGTGTTTGCTTGGCACATATACATGCTTAGTTAATATTTACTGAATGGGCCAGGCACGGTGGCTCACACCTGTAATCCCAGCACTTAGGGAGGCCAAGGCAGGCGGATTACTTGAGGTCAGGAGTTTGACACCAGCCTGCCCAACAGGGTGAAACCCCGTCTCTACTAAAAATCCAAAAATTAGCGTGATGGTGCACGTCTGTAATCCCAGCTACTGGGGAGGCTGAGGCAGGAGAATTGCTTGAACCCAAGAGGCAAAGGCTGCAGTGAGCCAAGATTGCGCCACTGCACTCCAGCCTGGGCAACACAGCAAGACTCTGTCTCAAAAAAAAAAAAAAATGTACCGACTGAGTAAACTAAGGATAAGGTGGACCTTGCTTGAAGTAGAAGGATCTAATCTATCCTTGATTCTGGGCAAACTGCAGCCTTGAGTGTGTTTGTGTGTGGATGTCTGTGGCACAGGCTTAAAAAGTGAGCAATTATAATGATAAGTGAGCCCTCAAAAATGAATGAAGCATGATGAGAAAAAGATGCTCCCTTTTGGAAATAAAATGCTCACTTGCTAGTAGTAGATCACTTGTTCATGGCAAGCTTGAGCGTAAAGGAGGTAATTTACTACCAGTGGGTCTGAGAGACTCTGGGACAAACCAACTTGCTAAACTACCACCCATGTAAAGCAGTGTTAAGTCAACATAGCATGGCCCCCACAGCCCTGTGCCTTAGTCATCATCATTTACAGTCCAGAGCTGTGTGGCTCTGGGCAGCCATAACTCAGAGTCCCTGCAGCCAGGTAATATTTTCAAGTTCTTCATGAAGCATTATCCTTGGTCCTTAAAACCAAGGGGTATGCATGACACTTGAATTACAACTGATGTGGGGGAATGACTAGTGATCAATCTAATTGATAGATTACTCTATCTTTGAATTTCAACTCCTTAAGCTTTATATTTGCAGTCAGAATATCTTATTAGTGTTGGAAACTATTTCAGACCTGAGGTATTGGGTGTCATTCATCAACCGGGCATCACTCACTGGTGCTGAAATTGTGGTTACTGATCAACTAAGAATTGAAAGCAGTCACCATTCTGCTTGGCAATGCAAGAGAGTACGTTTTTTGAGGGTAACCTTATTTTCCATTACCCAGCACATTGCTTCATAATAAGAAAATAACAACAATAGCTAACACAGGTATAACGCTTCACATGTTGGACATTGTTCTAAAGGCATTACATGTATTAACTTATTTAATCCTCTAAACCCATGAGGTAATACTATTGTCAACATTCCCCCCATTTTACAGAAGAGGAAACAGACATCAGCAAATAAATAAGCAAAGCATGCAGTACGCTAGGTGGTGATGAAGTGTGACAGCAATAGTAAAGCAGGGAAAGGCATTAGGGAATGCCAGAGGTTGTGCAACTTTAAATTGAGGGCCCAGGAAAAGCCTTGCCAAGAAGGTGACATCTAAACTAAAATCTGAAGGTGGTGAGGAAGCAAACCATGTGATATCTAGAGGGAAAGCATTTAAGAGAGTGGGACGACAAAAAAACGCAAAGATCTTGAATCAGGACTATCTGGTATTCCAGGGAAAGCAAGGAGGCCAGGGGAAAAACGTAAGCAGAAGGGCAAATCCCATGAGATTAGCACAGAGGTAAGGAGGGAAGATGTGGGAACAGGAAGTAGAAATTGTAGGACCCTGTAGGCTTTTACTGAGTGAGATAGGAGCCATTTTTGAGAACAGTGAAATGATCTGACTTATGTTTTAAGTCAGGATCCCTCTGACCACTGTGTTAGTTAAGAAGACTGTTTAATATAAGCTGAGGAGCAAGGACACTAGCTAGGAAGCTACTGCAATAATCCAGGCGAGAGAAACAATGGTGTACCAGAGGCGTAGTAGTAGGGTTAGTGAGAAGTAGTCAGATTCTGACTGTATCTGAAGGTGAAGCTCATAGAATTGGCTGACTGAATGTCAGCTGTGAAAGACAGGAGGCAAGCAGGAGACAAGCAGGGTGCCAAGCGTTCTGGCCTGAGCACCCCTGAGAGGCTGATTCAGAGGAGCAGGCTTGAGGTGGTAGAAGGATGAGGCGAGACTTGGAATTCAATCTTGGATATGTTGAATTTGACAGGCCTATTAGACAATTCCTCCAACTAAATCTACAAAAGGACGGGCGCGGTGGCTCACGCCTATGATCCCAGCACTTTGGGAAGCCAAGGCGGGCGGATCACCTGAGGTCAGGAGTTCGAGACCAGCTTGGCTAACATGGTGAAACCCCATTTCCACTAAAAATACAAAAAATTAGCCAGGCATGGTAGCACACACCTGTAATCCCAGTTACTCGGGAGGATGAGGCAGGAGAATCGCTTGAACCCAGGAGGCGGAGGGTGCAGTGAGCCAAAATCACGCATTGCACTCCAGCCTGGGTGACAAGAGTGAAACTCCATCTCAAAAAAAAAAAAACACACACACAAAACCTATAAGAAGCCTCTTCAGGCTACCTCAGCTTCACTTTACTAAACACCTACTATGGGGCAGACATTGTGTTTAGGAGGGTAGCTCTGGAATCAGATACCAGGTTCGTTTTCTGGCTCCACTAGTTACTGTCAATCCCATGACCTTGGGAAGGGGCACTGCGCAAAGTGAGGAAATGACTTACTCTTTGTGGGCCTCAGTTTCTTCATCTGTAAATGGAGAGAACAGTAACTATGTCCCCAGGTAGTGGTGAACAAGCTAACACACGTAAAACACTTAGAACCCCATCTGTGCTGGCCAGGCGCAGGGGCTCACGCCTGTAATCCCAGCACTTTGGCAGGCTGAGGCGGGCTGATCACAAGGTCAGGAATGGAGAACATCCTGGCTAACAGGGTGAAAACTCATCTCTACTAAAAAGACAAAAAATTAGCGGGGCGTGGTGGCAGATGCCTGTAGTCCCAGCTACTTGGGAGGCTGAGGCAGGAGAATGGCATGAACCCAGGAGGTGGAGCTTGCAGTGAGCCGAGATAAATGTTATCTATTTATTTTATGCTTCATCTCATTAAGGGCTCACAATACTCTTCTGGAACAAGTAGAAAATGAAGCAATGGGCAAAGTCCCGTCTAGACAGGAATGGAGAAGACCCTGCAGGAAAGACCAGGCTCCTTCTACACAACACCGCCTCCCAGTGCCAAAACGGTAATTCACAGCTTTGAACCAGAGCAATGCTCAGAAAAGATACATACACAACAGCAAGTTTGCAAACACCTGTAAACAAAACAGAACAAAAAGGTAGTATCCTCTGTTTCCTGGCTTTCTGGTCAGCTATCCAGGCTGCTTTCTTTAGGGAAATTAGGTAGACAATTTTTTTTTTTGAGACTGGGGTCTCGCTATGTTGCCCAGACTGGTCTCAAACTTATGGGCTCCAGTGATCCTCCTGCCTTGGCCTCCCAAAGTGCCGGGATTATAGGCGTGAGCCACCAGGTCCTGCCAGGTAGACAGAATTTTTTTTTTTTTTTTTTTTTTTGAGACAAAGTCTCGTTCTGTCGCCAGGCTGGAGTGCAGTGGTGTGATCTTGGCTCACTGCACCCTCCGACTCCCTGGTTCAAGTGATTCTCCTGCCGAAGCATCCCAAGTAGCTGGGATTACAGGCACGTGCCACCACCCCCAGATAATTTTTGTAGTTTTAGTAGAGACGGGGTTTCACCATGTTGGCCAGAATGGTCTCGAACTCCTGACCTCGTGATCTGCCCACCTCGGCCTCCCAAAGTGCTGGGATTACTGGCGTGAGCCACCGCGCCAGGCCCAGGTAGATAGACTTTTGAGGCAGTCTGGAAACCATGGTTCTGGTACTATCATATTAATAGTTATGTGGCCTAGGGTAAGTTATTCTCTGGGGTTGATCCTCTCTCCATTGCCCCTTTCAGTTCCAATATGGATGATTCCACTTAAAAAAAAAAAATGTAAACTCACTTTTTGTTGTTGTTGTTGAGGTAGAGTCTTACTCTGTCGCCCAGGCTGGAGTACAGTGGTGCAATCTCAGCTCACTGCAACCTCCATCTCCCAGGTTCAAGTGATTCTCCTGCCTCAGCCTCCCAAGTAGCTGAGACTACAGGCGCACACCACCATGCCCAGCTAATTTCTGTACTTTTAGTAGAGACAGGGTTTCACCATGTTGGCCGGATGGTCTTGATCTCCTGACCTCCTCATCTGCCCACCTCAGCCTCCCAAAGTGCAACTCACTTCAACTCTAAGCTAGCAAAATAGTCTGGCTAAGCATTACCTGAATCAAAATTTTAAATTTTAAATACAGAGGGCGGAATAATGCCACATTCAGTAACTTGTTTTGACCACCAGCAACATCTTAAGATAAGACTCCTTATTTAATTGGGAAGAATTCAATCTGCAGGCAGACATCTAAAGTCTTGGATGACATTCTGTATTTGAAATTGTAATAAGAAAACAGGCCGGGTACGGTAGGCTCACATCTGTAATCCCAGCACTTTGGGAGGCCGAGGCAGGTGGATCACTTGAGGCCTGGAGTTTGAGACCAACCTGGCCCCATCTCTACTAAAAATACCACACACACACACAAAAATTTGCCAGGTGTGGTAGCGCCCGCCTATGTTCCCAGCTACTTGGGAGGCTGTGGCAGGAGTGTCACCTGAGCAGGGGAGGTAGAAGTTGCAGTGAGCCGAGACCGTGCCCTTGCACTCCAACCTGGGCGACAGGGCAAATCCTGTCTCCAAAAAAAAAAAAAAGAAAAAGAAAAGAAAGAAAGAAAAAGAAAAAGAAAGAAAACACTGGATAGGATAAACAAATGAGTCTTCCCTCAAACAGGCAACTGTAGGCAGCAGCCGCAATTCGGTTGCAGTGAAACAAAAGAGAAGCAGAATGGTGATGCAAATGTGTGGTTTTTTTTTTTTTTTTTTTCCTGGTCTTGGCTGAGGAAATCGTGCTAGTTTATAGAATTCGTATTTGATCAGTTGCTTATGCTTTTAGCTCTGCAAGATGTGTTCTCCAGAAGCACCTACGGCAAATTAACTCAACACTCGAATTGGGGTGAGCTCCAACGCTTAGTCGCTGAGAATCACAGCCTCCAGCACCGCTCTGACCAAGTGAGCCGGGGGCGCGGGGGAAGGGTGTAGGGCACCAGAGTCCCAGCGGGCGCTGCCCCGAGTGGACCACGTGGGCCTGGATTTGGGCAGGACGCGCTCCTGACCGCACGAGGCATGGGGGCCAGGGCTGGCCTCAAGAGGGCACAATCTCGGAGGCCCGAGGTGGCAGGCCTCGCCGTAGCCCCGGCGTCCGGGGACAGCGCTGGGCCTAGGTCACGACTGACTGCCCCACGCCTCGGACCGGCTGCCCTGACCCTAGGCCTCCCCCGCTCCCCACTTACCAGCCGTTGACCTCATTTTGGGAGTTCACATCCACCCCGCTCTCCACCAGTTTCTGCACCTCCCGAATGTCCCCTAAGGCCGCGGCCTCCCGCAGCCTCTCCTGCTGCTCCTTCTGCTCTAGGAGGGCGTTCATCTTCCCCTCAGCCCCAGGCCCCCGCCCAGGCCCGCCTGCCCCGCCCCGCCCGGGGCCTGTCAGCGCCGCCGCCGTCGCCGCGGCCCACTCCCGGCCATGGGGAGGGAGCGTGGAGCTCGCCCGCCCTGTTCGCGCCGCTGCCCGCGCCCGTCCCGGGACTTCCGCTCCCTCCCGCAGGCCGCCCCTGCACCTCCCGGCCCGCAGGCCCAGGCCTCCTCCCCGGCCGCGCCTCCCGAAGGCCGGCTCCGGGGGACCCTATTCAGTGTGACAACCCTGACCCAGATATTTTCCGTTCCGACCCAGGGCTCAGGCGCCCAGGCTGGCTGTTTATGTAACTACTGCACAATATTATCTGCCATGATTCATTGACTATTTTTAGACCTCCCCACCCCGCAGTTTCAAGGGAGGAGGACAAGGCACATGAAAAGAGAAAAAAGCATAGTTGAGAGCCAGAAAAGCCTTATCCTCTGGTGCAGGCTGTTTACCAGGCATCCAAAATAATTGGTCGGTTCTTTTTGTTGGGATTTGGGGGTTTTTTGTTGTTTATTTTCTCCCTGTTTGGTTGGCTCCTTTTCCGTATCTTGCCCAGCAGGATGGGGAAATGGGCTGAAAACGATCCTACTATAATACGCCCATTATTACAGAGATAGATTACACTCTTCTTTTTGACCGTGCTTGGGGACAATTCAGTTAGAATATTTAATTCAACTGTTGTTGTTTTACATCTCATTTTAGACAGGATTTCTTCTAACCTGGCTTTCAGGAAAAATATTTATATTGTGCTCACAGTTTATGAACTGTAATTACTGCTTACAGATTGTAATTAGTTACTCTTCATGAAGGCCATATAAGGAGAAAAGAAAGGAAAAACATTTAAGAGGCTTTGGAGGTGTCCTGGTCCTGATTCCAAGTGCTCTGGGAAGAGCTGTGGTGTACATGTAAACAGCATTTTGCTTGACATCTTGCCCGATCTATCTAATGAGGCTCAGAGCCTCAGTTGGCACTGTTTTATACCCAGTGGGAGAAAAAGGAAATATTGTTTTGCTGAGCCCAGGTGCCCCAAAGAGATCCTCTGATGTGGCACAGGATGGAACTTTGCAGATGGGGTCAGGATTAAGGAAATAGCCCTGGGGAGGAAGGGAGGAAGGCCTGAACAGGGAGAGATGAAATAGGAAGGGATAAATTTAGGCATGGAGTTTTCATTTCCGTCTCTTGGGACTGCTAGGATCTGCACAGCAAGCATTTTTCCTGCTACAGTTTAAGAAAAACCAATGTCTGTTTGTTTAGTATGATACAGTAATTTACACAGTATGCAGTGCACACCAGGTGGTGCTGAATATAAACTGACTGCACACTGAAATTGACCCCCACAGCAAATTGTAACCCTGCTTGAGCTTACATTTTCATTTGTTCCCCCAACTTAAATTTTAATTCTCACGTCCAGCATGATACTCCATCTGAAAGTGATGTGTATGGCACTGGAATGGAGTCCTCAACACAATTTGAGTGACATGGGAGTAGGTAGTGGCGTGTTGTTTTTGTTTGTTTGTTTGTTTCTGAGACAGAGTCTCACTCTGTTGCCCAGGCTGGAGTGCAGTGGCGCGATCTGGGCTCACTGCAACCTCTACGTCCAGGTTCAGGCGATTCTCCTGCCTCAGACTCCCGAGCAGCTGGGATTACAGGCCTTTGCTACCATGCTTGGCTAATTTTTGTATTTTTAATAGAGATGGGGTTTCACCATGTTGGCCAGACTGGTCTCGAGCTCCTGACCTCATGTGATCCATCAGCCTTGGCCTCCCAAAGTGCTGGAATTACAGGTATGAGCCACCGCGCCTGGACTGTTTTTTTTTTTTTTTTTTTTTTTTGGTTGTTGTTGTTGTTGTTTTTTCGTATTAATGCAGTTTAAAAAATTGTTCATGACTGCACCCCGAAGACTATGAGTTCTCTTTATGAGAGTTTGTCAAATGTCCCTTCCTTAAAAGGATTATAGCATGTACCCTACACAACTGCTGTATCCATGAATATTAGTAGATCTTCTTAAACTCAACCTCTACTTACTGTGAGTTCAGTCTTCTGTTTATTATCTTCAGATAAAAAAAATTTTTTTTTTATCCACAAACAAAACTTCTGATTCTGGATATAACTGAATGTAACCTGCTGGCTGTTCTATTACTGCGTCCATTTATCTCTACTCTGTCTTGTCTCTAGGGAACTACCTAATTCACTGAACTGTATTAAGCATGTACTGTTTGCCAGGCACTGTTCTAGTCACTGAGGATGCTGCTGCAAATGAATCAGAGTCCTTGACTTCGAAGAAAAGTTTATCAGGGGAGACAAGGCGAACAATAGAATGTGCTATGCATTACAATAGAAACAACGTAGCATAATGGTAGTGAGCATGGAGATAGACGCCAGACTGCCTGGGTTTGTATGCCAGCTTTGCCACTCATATAATCTTGGATGAGTTACTCAACTTTCCCGTGCCTCAAATTCTGCACCTGCGAAATAGGAATAATAGTAGCACCCACCTTGCAGGATTGTTGTATGGATTGAATGAATGGATATGTGCAAAGCCTAGACATCTTAAACATTCATTGGATCATAGGTGGGTTACAACAAGGTTTACGTTAGGGAAACTTAACCTGGCAGAGTGGGAGGGCAGTGGTGGTCAAGAAACAAGGATAATGTTCGGGTTTCTGGCTGATTAGATGGTGGTGTGATTTATTGAGATTTGAGACAAAGGATGTTGAGAAGGTTTGAGGTTTGGTCATGAATTCACTTTTGAATCTGCTGACTTGAGCTTTCCGAGGACCTTTTAATTACTACTACTCTTTACTATCTGCTACTATCAACTCATTGCCAGGCACTGCAGGAACTGCTGTACGTGGATTATCTCATTTAATCCTCACAACAACCCCTCTGTAAAACAGGACCATTGTTACTATCTGAGGCTTAGCGAGGTAATTAACTTGCCCCAATGCTGGCCAGGCGCAGTGGCTCACACCTGTAATCACAGCATTTTGGGAGGCTGAGGCGGGCAGATCACCTGAGGTCAGGAGTTTGAGACCAGCGTGGCCAACATGACGAAATCCCGTCTCTACTAAAAATACAAAAATTAGCTGGGCCTGGTGGCAGGTGCCTGTAATCTCAGCTACTCAGGAGGCTGAGGCAGGGGAATCGCTTGAACCCAGGAGGCGGAGGTTTCAGTGAGCCGAGATCATGCCATTGCACTCCAGCCTGGGCAACAGAGTGAGACTCCTTCTCAAAAACAAACAAACAAACAAACTTGCCCAATGCTATACATGGTAGTTTGTGATGGAGCAAGGCTTTGAACTCAAGTTCAATTTCTGAGGCTGTGCTTTCTCTTCTAATTTTCATTTAAATGTTCAGTAAACCAGTAAACATTTACGTGAATGGGTATTGCATTTAGGAAGGCGATCTGGGCTGGTGATTTGTATTTTGGCAGTCAGCAAAGGGTGCTAACTGAAGTCATGGGAATAGAAGAGATAGCCCCAAGGGAGTCTGTGTGAGTGCTGAGAGAAGACTACTGCCGGGCGCGGTGGTTCACACCTATAATCCCAGCACTTTGGGAGGCGGAGGAGGGTGGATCATCTGAGGTCAGGAGTTCAAGACCAGTCTGGCCAACACAGCGAAACCCTGTCTCTACTGAAAATACAAAAAGCCGGGTGTGGTGGTGCACGCCTGTATTCCCAGCTACTCAGGAGGCTGAGGCAGGAGAATCACTTGAATCTGGGAGGTGGAGGTTGCAGTGAGGCGAGATCATGCCACTGCACTCCAGTCTAGGCAACAGAGTAAGACTGTCTCAAAAAAAAAAAAAAAAAAAAAAAAGACTGCTGAAGACAGCCAGGAATGGTGGTTTGTTCCTGTTATCCCAGCTACTCAGGATGCTGAGACAGGAGGATCCTTTGAGCCCAGGAGTTCCAGACTAGCCTGGACAGCACAGTGAAACCCTGACAGTGAGATCCTGTCTTAAAATAAGTAAGTAAATAAATAATTTTTAGAAAGAAGACAGCCAAAGACGGAAGAATACAGACGGTTCCCAACTTATGATGGTTGCAGTTAGGATTCTTTTACTTTACAACAGTGCAAAAGTGATACACAAAAGTGCAAAAGTAAGTAGAAACCTTACTTCGTGTAACCAATTATTCTGTTTTTCATTTTCAGTACAGTATTTAATAAATTACATGAGATATTCAACACATTATTATAAAATAGGTTTTGTGTTAGATGATTTTGCCCAACTGTAGGCTAATGTAAGTGTTCTCAGCACACTTAAGGCTAGGCTAAGTTATGATGTTTGGTAGGTATATTAGTCTGTTTTCACACTGCTATCAAGAACTACTGAAGGCCGAGCACAGTGGCTCATGCCTATAATCCCAGCAGTTTGAGAAGCCAAGGCAGGTGGATCAATTGAGGCCAGAACTTCGAGACCAGCCTGGCCAACATGGAGAAACCCTGTCTCTACTAAAAAATACAAAAATTAGGCAGGTGTGGTGGCGCAAGCCCATAATCCCAGCTACTCAGGAGGCTGAGGCACAAGAACCACTTGAACCTGGGAGGCAGAGGTTGTAGTGAGCCTAGATTGTGCCACTGCACTCCAACCTGGGTGACAGAGCAAGACTTTGTTTAAAAAAAAAAAAAAGAACTACCTGAGACTGGGTAATTTATAAAGTGAGGAGGTTTAATTGGCTTACAGTTCCACATGGCTGGGGAGGCCTCAGGAAACTTACAATTATGGCACAAGGTGCCATACACCTTCACAAGGTGGCAGGAGAGAAAGCGACGGAGCGAAGGGGAAGTGCCACGCTTTTAAACCATCAGATGTCCTGAGAACTCACTCACTATTGCGAGAACAGCATGGGGGAGCTGCCCACATTATCCAATCACCTCCTATCAGGTTCCTCCCTGGACACATAGAGATTACAATTTGAGATGAGATTTGGGTGGAGACACAGAGCCAAACTGTATCTGTAGGCTAGGTGCATTAAATGCATTTTCAACCTATGATGGACGTATTGGGATCTAACCCCTTTGTAAGATGAGGAGCATCTATAGTCAACATTTTAATGATGGACAGAAGAGAAGAAATTCTGAAATGAGACTAAAGAGGAGCAGCTATTAATAGACTAGCAGGAGGAAAAGCAAAGTAGGGGGAGGGTTTGGAGACAAGGGAGTGATCCACAGGGTCAAATGCTGTAGAAAGGGCAAGAAAGAAAGGGCTAAAACATA